TAAAAGTTAACTATAACCGAATAAAAGGAGCCGGCCAAGAGGCCACCTTAACACCAAAAAAAAAAAAAAAAAATTTATATTTTTCATTTTTCTTTATAGAAATTGATAAAAATGATCAAAAAATGTCTGATTTTTTTTATTTCTCTATAAACCTATAGTAAAATTTTACAGATTACTAAGAACATGTGGTAAAAACTCTCAAAAGAAATTTTAATTTATTTGAACTGAAACTGGTAAAAAAATATTAATATGTTAGCCTGGTATTTGACTAAATAATATAATTAAAATAAAACTTTTAGTACTTGTGAAGCAATTTATTTCTCAAAAAGACATTTTCTGCCCTTTGAGCATTTTTGTTTTACAAGTTACCAATAGATTTTTTATAGAATATCTGATAAGATTTAATAAAAATTATTAAAAAGCTGAATATAGTGATTATAATATTAATTATAATGTAATCTTGTCTTAAAACTACAAAAGGAACAAACAGAATTAGCTAGCTTTGCTTTAGAAACTATGATAAATTAAAATCATACTTGATAACAAAAATAATTTATAATCATATTAATAATTTGTTAGTTTGCTACAGTTACTTGTTGGTAATAAAATTTGGCACAACAGCAGCATTGAATACACTTTGTCCACAGAGCTATATGAAAATGGCTGATATTTACATACAATGAGCAATTATAATAATAATGCTTGAATTCATATCTATAGAAATTTATTTGGCTAGTATCTAAAAATATTTTGATTGATTTGAGACAAGATGTAGAATGATTACATTATGTGATATTATATTTACATTGTTTACTTTTGGAAGCACCACCAGCTCTTATTTTTTGGTGTTTAGAAAAGTTTTTGCAAGGTCAAGGTAAAAAAAAATTTTTTTAATAATTCGTAAATTTATATTTTATGATTCAATTTCCTTTTGTTATTAGGCATCATGAAAGCACAACATATGTTTTTGTATTATGTTGTCCAATAAATATTTTCCTCAATTATGTTCTTATTTGGGAGCCATTCTCACTTGATTACATTGGCTACTACATTAACAAATTGGTTAATGTTATTTTCTCACTTTCCTTTATATAAAATACATTGATGGATTCGATACTTGGAGAGGATGGTCACATTTAAGCTTCAAAGATTGGTCAACATTCATGAAACTTGCATTACCAGGGATGTTAACATCATGTGCTAATTGGTAGATTTATGAACTTATTGCATTATTTGCAGGTTATTTTGGAAGTGTATCTTTAGCAAGTCATCGATTAATTCTTACAATTGCGCTGATATTATATCAGATACCACATAGTTTAGCTGTAGCAGCTTCAAACGGGGTTGGTAATTTACTGGGTGCTGGTCTACCAAATAGAGTGACAATAGCTACAAATACCTCATACTTGCTGTCATGGGTGCCGCATGCAATGCAAACGGTATTACGTAAAATATTCAAAAATGTCCAACTATAATAGAATAAGAAAATTGCTACAAATTATAATTAAGCCACTATCGAAAAATTTGCTATACTCGTACTTCATTGAACACACGCATGTGAAACGTATGTTTAATCAATTAAAATTATATTGACTACAAAATGGCTTATACCGTTTTCTAATTTAAAATGAAATATGGCAATTAATAATTGAAATAAATTGAAGAATGATGCGAAACATGCATAGATTTGAATATACGCATAAGTTTAAGTGCATCGTAATAATTTCTTTATTAATTGTAAATTTATACAAATATCTGTTGAAAACGCCATACTTCCAAATTGAAAAATGAAATGCGTAAATTTAATAATTGACATGAATTATAACGGTCTTTGCCACATTCGTTTGTAGTGTTTATTAGCCCGCTATATGATGACGGGCTCTAATACTAGTAATTAATTAGCGTTAGTATAAGATCTTTATTCAATATAAAACCCAATATAATCTTGTAATACAAACATGTTACACCTTCACAGAGCATGTGAGTACTTCATTCTAAAGGGGACGTCTAAAGCGGAGCAGATTCTTATAATATATATTTTATTGAATTAACTTTAGGGTTAGGGTCATCTTAT